AGCAGGGGTCCCCAACTCCCGAGCCGTGGGTCATTTGGTACTCGAACCCGCCCCGTACACTGCCTCCTCCCATACGCCTCTAAACCAGAACTAAAACCAGGACTTAAACCAGGACTAAACCATAAATAAACCAGAACTTAAACCAGGACTAAAACCAAAACTAAACCAGAACTAAACCAGAACTAAACCAGAACTAAAACCAGGACTAAAACCAAGACTAAACCAGAAATAAACCAGAACTAAAACCAGAAGTAAACCAAACTAAAACCAAGACTAAGCCAGAATTAAAATTAGAACTAAACCAGGTATTGTTGCATCTCTAGTCGTATTATTCATTCTCTATCCCATCTCTCTTCCTCTCTTTCTCTAACCCCGACTCTCCCATCTCTCTTCCACCTTTTCTTCTCTCTCTCTCTCTTTCTTTCACTCTCTCCCTCTCTCTCCTCATCCTCTCTTAACACTCGTCTGACCGTCTCTGAATTCAAATGAAACCCAGCGCTCCCTGATTTGCATGTACTTACAGAATATTGCATGTGCGTGCGGAGAAGGCCGGGAGACGACGGAGGGAAGAGGGGGAGGAAGAGGAGGAGAGGCGGAGGGGGGGAGGAGGAGGTGCGCTCGTTTTGCTGTTGGTGGGCGTCTCGGTGCCTCCCATTGACATCAAACGCTCCTCTGATATGGAAATGGGGCGGGCAGAGAGGGAGAGAGAAGGGCTCCTCACTGCGCTTTTGTTTGGATGTAGGCCAAGGTCTCTCCCTCTTTCTTCTATCTCTCTATCTGTCTGTCTGTCTGCTCTTTAACTCCTGCTTTCTTTACACCTTCCCGCTCCCCTCCGTCTCCAACCGACTTCCGTTTTATTGTGGTAACAAGATCTGACACCTGCTAAAAGGCTCATTATGAACTTAATTTCATATCGTAGGGCTCAACCATTTGGGGAAAATGTCTTTAATTGTAATTTTTTTGACAAGCAGAATTTGATTTGTGATTTATCTTTTTGTAATATTGTGTGGAAGAGTTTACAATCCTGAGAATACTGAAATTTGAACTGTTTTTATGCAGAATAAGAGATTTTGTTTATGGAGGAAATGTTGGCAGCCTTTGTGATTTGCTAACTGCGTCTGTTCAAATGGTCCGTTCATAGAATCTCACAGAGGTAAATAAAGCTGATTTAAAAACAGACATCACTGTAAGGCTTGGGTCTCCAACCTTTTTTCTCCAGTGTGCTATCAAAACCAAAATTCCAGAGAGCTGCCAGTTTAAGCAGTCGCAAAGAAACTGAATAAATATAAGAGCCACGTCAAGGCTTAGACGGGAACTGTTAGTTGTCCATAAAACATAAACCATTATCCTTTTGTTGGTGCACCAAGTTTGGCATCAAAATGAATCCAATTTGACTTATTCTGCACAATACATAGAATTCAGAAATCCCTTGGATTCATGATTTCTGCTTGGAAGGGAGTGGAGAGTTACTGGCAGCTCCTGGGCTACAGGTTGGGGACTCCTGCTGTAATGGATGTTAAGATATCAAACTAACCTACACTTATGTGGTGTTATGTTTCATCTAAAGCTGCAGTGTGTAACTTTTCTGCTCTGTCATCTGAATTACTTGATATTTTTTTAATGAAATGCCGTCCATCCATTTTCTTCCGCTTATCCGGGGCTGGGTCGCTGCAGCAACAGTCTATGTAGGAATTCCCAGACTTCCCTCACCTCAGACACTTCCTCCCAAGGCATTCCCAGGCCAGCCCAGAGACATAGTCCCTCCAGCGTGTCCTGGGTCATCTCCGGGGCCTCCTTCTGGCGGGACATGCCCGGAACACGTCCTTGATCCACCAGAACAGATGTCCTCCTCTCAGCTGTTCCTCTGGACGTGGAGGAGCAGCAGCTCTACTGCGAGCTCCTCCCGTGTGACTGAGCGCCTCACTCTGTCTCTAAGGGAGCGCCCAGACACCCTGCGGAGGAAACTCATTTCGAGCGCTTGTATCTGCGATCATGTCTTTTCAATCATTACACAAGCTCATGACCACAGTTGAGGGGAGTAACGGAGATTGACGGTAAATCAAGAGCTCCTTATGAAAGTCCTAAACAAAATCTGTAAATGTCCAACAAATGCCCAGCCATTTCTAGATCCTTAAACAAACTCGCTATATTATAACAAAAATATGCATCCTTTGATTTTATCTGCCCTCTCAAATATTATTGGCTTATAGACTTTATTCAGACTTACCGGAAGCCGTTTGGAAACATGCGGATGATGACTTCCGGTGTATTTCCTGACACTGAGCCTGTGATAAAAGCGTGGATTCAGCAGCAGCGTCTTCACATCCTGCCAAAGCTTTCCATGTGGGACGAGACTCAGACCACAACTTCAGAGTCACTCACAGACAGCTGGGTGGAAATGTTGATCTGCCAAACATAAACGAACACTACAATAACATCTGATTAAGTTAAATTATGATACGCAAATGAATAGGCAGTTTATAAAAGGAAAAAGAAAGAATACATTGACATCTAGATGAAGAAAACCGGGCCATTTTCTCAGTTTTCCCAGATTTTGTCAGAGTTGCTATCGCCAACAGAGCCCAGAGGAAGTCATCATCTGCGTGTTTATCTAATTCTGGTCAGATTGTGTTAAAACTAAACTCAGATTAAAGTGTCAGACAGAGTAGTGCCTACAGTTAGCATCCTGGCCCCAGGAAATTTTGCTGCAAAGTAGCAGTAGAATGTTGTGACATCATCTGAATCCAATCAAAAATGTGTCTATCTTTATTTGTTAAAGGTCCCATATTATGATACTTTTCATCACAAACACACCTGGAGTCCCACCTTGTGATGTCATGTGGTAATAGAGGAAGTGCTCCACTGTGTTTTTAAACTCAATACACCTTCACTTGAATCATTTGGATGATTTCAACCCTGGAATTACCGATCTCTACTGAATAATAGGAAGAAGTAGCAGTTACTAACTTAAAAACTACCACTTATTACATCACAAAGTGGAACAGAGCATTTTGAGCTTTGGAGACATAGACAAACTAACAATAAAGAGTTACTCAAACATGTAATATCAGACCTTTTTTAAGACCCTGTTGTGTATGTAGAACAGGGGTGTCCAAACTTTTTTCATCAAGGGCCATATTTCTAAACACAGATGAAGCAGAGGGCCGATCGAGGGCCGTAGACTGATGCTCAATACAGTGAATAACTGTAATATGTGCAGGTTTAACATGTTAGAATGAACCATCAGTCTTTATTCATGCTAAAATCCTTAAAACCACACACTAAATATTAAATATTGGCTTTATCAAGGTAGATTTTCAAAAAACTTGCAGTGAAATGTTCATTTTTAATTGTTGTAAGGTAATTTGGGCCAATTCACCTGGAAGTCTGAGGGCCAAGAAAAATTTGTCTGAGGGCCGCATTTGGCCCACGGGCCATAGTTTGGACATGCCTGATGTAGAATAATTGACCATTACAGTTTTCTCCTGACAGATTTAAATGAGAATATTTTCTGCTTGGACACAGCTCTTTAAAATGCATTACACAGCTCTTCTTCTTCTTCTTCTTGTTCTTTTTCTCGTAAATGACGTCACTGCTTCCCCCATAACATCTTTGAAATCGTCCCTCCCGCTGTGCTCCGTCTCTTTACTTCTGTGTTTATATGATCAATACACTGTAAAAGGCCTGTGTCATGAATGGGACCAAACAGCTCCAGATGAGTCAGGACTGCAGCCTTCACTATAAATAATGTAAACGAGAGATTATGCGTGGAGCTAGCACAAACTCAGGCCTGTTTGTTTAAATGCATGTGCTTTCTATTGGGAGTAAAACAAAGAGAAGGACACAGACACACGAGTGCTCTGGGCCACATGAACACTGGAGGTTTGGAGCACAGACCTGGTTTTACAATATGTCGGGGTCATTTTGTGGAAAAAGGAAAATGGGAAAACTGAGTGAATTGTCCACACTTGAAAAGTATTTAGACGGACTGCAAAAAGGCGGATTACAATAAAACAAAAACAGTGTAATTGTAATATTGTTTAATTTGACAGTTTATCAACTTTTTGTGTGTTATTGAACTTCAGTAACTTCAGTTTGCAGGTTTATTTTATCCAAATTTTGTGTTTTTTGTCAAATAGGTAACCCACTTTCTGACAAACTGATGTGTCATTTTGAATTGAATTGTGTACATCAGTCTGGGATGATTCTGAAAGCGATCGTATCAGGAACACTCAAATGAAAACTCCAAGCTGGTATCATTAAGAAGTTGCCGATACTATACATACTTCGATACATAGGCCACGATACGATACATACATTCATTCAATACAGTATATTTCAAATCGATTCAATAAAGAATCATGACTGTGATACTAAAAGTCTTTGTTAAACCACTTCTTGTGCAAAGTTCAGATGAAACACAAACATTTTAATCATCAAAACAGTGAAAATGTCAAATGTGTCACATAAACGAGTTTCCTTCCACTGAACAAACAACAAAACTGTAACAGTAACAAAATAATTTAGTAAAATATACCAACAAATACTCTTGGTCATATATCGATACAGCAGCCCATGATACTGTATCCTCACATTATTGATATATACGATATATCAATATTTCAATATTTTTACACACTCCTTCTGGTCAATGCGTCACAAAAAAAAAAAAAAAAAAAAAAAAGAATTTTGGTACAGTGTCCAAGTGCAATGTTTCATGAGTTTGTGTTATTGTGAGTTTGTGTTATTGTGAGTTTGTGTTATTGTGAGTTTGTGTTATTGTGAGTTTGTGTTATAGTGAGTTTGTGTTATAGTGAGTTTGTGTTATTGTGAGTTTGTGTTATTGTGAGTTTGTGTTTTGTGTTATGTTGTGAGTTTGTGTTATTGTGAGTTTGTGTTATTGTGAGTTTGTGTTATTGTGAGTTTGTGTTATTGTGAGTTTGTGTTGTTGTTTTGGATAAATCTCTGTTCTAATTGAGTGTTTTGTGTGTTTTGTGCAGCACTTTAAGAAGCAGAGGAGGCTGATCCCAGAGAGAACTGTGTGGAAATACTTTGTCCAACTGTGCAGCGCCCTGGAGCACATGCACTCCAGAAGAGTCATGCACCGAGGTAAAACACACTGACCCATACTGACCCATACAGACAGACCCATACTGACCCATACAGACCCATACTGACCCATACAGACAGACCCATACTGACACACACTGACCCATACTGACCCATACAGACAGACCCATACTGACACACACTGACCCATACTGACCCATACAGACAGACCCATACTGACACACACTGACCCATACTGACCCATACAGACAGACCCATACTGACACACACTGACCCATACTGACCCATACAGACAGACCCATACTGACACACACTGACCCATACTGACCCATACTGACCATACTGACCCATACTGACCCATACTGACAGACCCATACTGACACACACTGACACACACTGACACACACTGACCCATACTGACCCATACTGACCCATACAGACAATGAAGAAATGCAGATGATGCATGATGTGTGACCGATACTGACACACACTGACCCATACAAACAGACCGATACTGACCCATACTGAACCATACAGACCGATACAGACCACTACAACCCTGTACACATGCACTGCAGAAGAGTCATGCACAGAGGTAAAAACACACAAGTAATAACATGACAAACACACACCATCTGCACACAACTGTCACATGAAACTGGTCTGGGTTAATTAGTTAATAAATGTTCATTAAACCACAGTCAGTGAGTTTAATGAAATCCAAAGTTTAACAGCTGTGTGTTAATTCTGCATAACACACAGGTGAACTCAGTTACATCACTTTCTATGTAAAGTTTTAACTCACTTTGCCTTAAAACTTTGCAGAGTCCTGCATTAAAACTGCTTCATGTACAGCTCCTCGTTTATTGCGCACATCACTAATAACAGAAAATGTTTCAGAAAGAGTTTCATTATTAATAAAATCTTCGGTGCATTCAGGTTGTGTTGGAGAAATGGAATTCATAGTGAAACTGCACCACAGGCTCCTGCAGCTGGGCTCTTGTTGACATTTCTGTGTAGACTGCTCTATCTGACCCACGTTATCAGAGGGTATAATACTCCCTACAGTAGAAACACAGACACACTTGAATGAACAATATGACAGTGTGTTGAGGATTTAAGTCTCCAGGTCCTGATGGTAAATATAATTAGTTTTTTAAAAAATGTGTTGCAGTATCTATTATTTCAGCAGACAATTCTGATATTGATTCTTTTATGAGACACAGTGCTTCATTAAGTCCTCATGTGTTTTCGATGTTTTCGATGCTTAAAGTCAGGCGTACACTGCAATTTTTGGCCCTTTTTGAGCCAATTTTTCACTTGTGTTTTTGGGATCGGGCCGAGTTTTGTCTTAATCGTGTGTCGTGCTTTTTGTAGTAAACACAGGGTAACAAGAACCGATGAAAACCTCACGACCAGCTCCCAACTGGAAATCGAAGGTCACAAGAAAATCTGAAATCCAGTCGCCTCGTGAGGGTTTCGCTCTGTTGAAGTCGTTCGTACAGTGTGAGAACATGAATCGTGAGCTGTGAACTTTTAAACCCTGAGATTTGGTCGTAAAGTTTGAGCTGGAGCTGAGTGAAACCATCCAAAATATCACACAGTGTTTGGTCTGGAATTAGAGGCTTCAGTGGTCTCCTCCTCTGAGCAGGACATGAGATGAGGAGATGAGGAGGTGGAGATGAGGAGATGATGGAGATGAAGAGATGAGGAGATGAAGATGAGGAGGTGGAGATGAGAAGATGAGGAGATGGAGATGACATGGAGATGGAGAGATGGAGATGAAATGGAGATGGAGAGATGGAGATGAGGAGGTGGAGATGAAGAGATGGAGATGAGGAGATGAGGAAATGCAGATGAGGAGATGCAGATGAGGAGGTGGAGATGAGGAAGTGGAGATGAGGAAGTGGAGATGAGGAGATGGAGATGAAGAGATGCAGATGAGGAGAGAAAATGAGAAGATGAGGAGATGGAGATGACATGGAGATGGAGAGATGGAGATGAAATGGAGATGGAGAGATGGAGATGAGATGGAGATGAGGAGATGTGAGGTGTTGGTGGTAGAAGTGTGAGAGGAGTTCTTGACAGAAGGATCCTGGCAGGTGTTAAACAACAACTCCACCAGAGCCAGTGTTAATGGGCTCACACACAGCACAATGCACTCCTCCTCCTCTCCTCCTTTTATCCCTCTCTCCTCTACAGTCCTCCTCCTCTCCTCTTTCTCTAGTGCACTCCTCTTCTACTCCTCTGATCCTTCTTTCCTCTCTACCAATACACTCCTCCTTTTATCCCTCTCTCCTCTACGGTCCTCCTCTTATCCCTCTCTCCAATGTTGTCCTTTACCTCTCTCCTGATCTTATCTTCCTATCTCTCCCCAAAACAGTCCTCTTCCTCTCCTCCTCTCATCCCTCTCTCCTCTCTACAGTGTAGTCCCGGCTAAAGAAACCTAAGTCTCTGGGCCTTTTCTTCCTCTCTCACTCCTCCTTGTCCTCCTCCTCTTCTTCTTCGCTCCTTCGCTCCTCCTCTCACCCCTCTTTCTCTCTCTCATCCCCTTCTCACCTCTCTCCCTCTGTCCTGTCATCCTCCACTCACTGAAACGTACAAAGACAAACAAGACTTTTTCCAAAAACATTTATCTAAAGAAGAGGGAGATCTAGTCCTGGTTTAGACCTGGTTTAGTCCTGGTTTAGTCTGGTTTAGACCTGGTTTAGTCCTGGTTTAGTCCTGGTTTAGACCTGGTTTAGACCTGGTTTAGACCTGGTTTAGTCCTGGTTTAGACCTGGTTTAGTTCTGGTTTAGTCCTGGTTTAGACCTGGTTTAGTCCTGGTTTAGACCTGGTTTAGTTCTGGTTTAGACCTGGTTTAGACCTGGTTTAGACCTGGTTTAGTCCTGGTTTAGACCTGGTTTAGACCTGGTTCAGTCCTGGTTTAGTCCTTCTCTCCTCTCGTCTTCTCTCTCTTTCTCCCTCCTCTTCTCTCCTCTTCTCCTCTCTTAGTGTCTCCCATCCTCTCATATCTCACCTTTCCTTCCCCCTCGTCTTTCTTCCTCTCCTTCTCCTCTTTTTCACCCCCCCCCCTTTCTCTTCTCCTCCTTTTAACCCCCCCGCTCCCCTACTCCCCTGGTCCTCCCTCCCCTCCTCTGCCTCCCCCTCTCTCTCGCTCTTCTTCTCTCCTCCTCCTTTTCTTTTCCCCACTCCCTCTTTCTTTCCTCTTCCTCCTCTCATTCCCCTCTACTCTTTCTCTCCTTGTCTCCATCCTCTGCCCCTCCTATCTCCCCTTTCTGTGTTCCTCTCTTCCTCCACCTCTCCACGTTCTTCCCTCCCCTTTCCCTCTCTCTCTCTCTCTCTCTCTCTCTCTCTCTCTCTCTCTCCTCCTCTTCACCCCTTCTCTCTTTTGTCTCCCATCTCCCGTTCCTGTGCCTCCCTCTCTCCCTCTCTCTCTCCTCCTCCTCCTCCTCCCCTCCTCATCTCCTCCTCCTCCTCTTTACCCCTCCTCTCCTCTTGTCTCCCATCTTCTCCCCCTCCTTCTGTGCCCCCTCTCTTCCTCCGCCTCTCCACCTCCCTCCATCCCCCTTTCCCTCTGGTCTCTCTTCCTCTCGTCTTTCTCCTCTTCACCCCATTCTCTCCTCTTGTCTCCCATCTTCTCCCCCTCCTGCCTCCCTCTTCTGTGCCCCCTCTCTTCCTCCCCCTCTCCCCTCCCTCCCCCTTTCCTTCCTCTCTCTCTCTCTCTCTCTCTCTCCTCTCCTTTTCCTCCTCCTCTTCACCCCCTTTTCTCGTTTGTCTCCCATCCTCTCCTCATGTCTCCCATCTTCTCCCCCTCCTGTCTTCCCTTTCTGTGTCCCTCTCTTCCTCCACCTCTCCACCTCCCTCCCTCCCCCTTGCCTTCCCCTCTCTCTCTCTCTTTCTCTCTCCTCCTCTTCCTCCTCCTCTTCACCCCCTTCTCTCCTTTGTCTCCCATCTTCTTCCCCTCCTTCTGTGTCCCCTCTCTTCCTTCACCTCTCCACCTCCTTCGCTCCCCCTTTCCCTCCTCTCTCTCTCTTTCTCTTTCTCTCTCCTCCTCTTCCTCCTCTTCTTCATCCCCTTCTCTCCTCATATTTCCCATCTTCTCTCAATCCTGCCCCCTCTCCCTTCTCTTCCTCTCAAACCCACCCCTCTCTCCCTCCTCTCTCCTCCTCCTCCTCCTCCTCCTCCTCTTCCTCCCCCCCTCCTCCCCCCGTCACAGGTGAAGTACATATCCGCTCTGCTGGCTCCGATTAGCTTTAGCGCACACTAACTAACCCTGCGCTGGAGTTAATGGGCACTTAGCAGCAGCCGGCTCATTACACAGGTGTACATTTCAAAGAGCCGCGCCGCTCCGGCCCAAATCACTTAAGACGGACGTTTCAAAGCGCCACTTTATTTTTGTGTTAAATGTAATTGATTTATAGAACGGGCCGGATCGTCGTGCAGTCGGGTTTAACGGCTGATACGAGGACTGGGCTCGTTCCCCCGCCGGGGCCGTGATTAAGATCAGGACAATCCCCCAACGACGGGTTCTGTGGACGACCGGGTTTTTATGATCCACTCACGGAAACGGACAAAGACAAACAGGACGCTTTCGGAATATTCAAACACACTTATTTAAAGAACAGATAGTCTTGGTTTAGGCCTGGTTTAATCCTCGGTTAGTCTCAGTTTAGTCCTGCTTTAGTCCTGGTTTAGTCCTCATTCGGTCCTGGTTTATTTCTGATTTAGTTTTGGTTTACTCCTGGTCTAGTTTTGGTTAAGCCCTGCTCTGGTCTAGACCTGGTTTAGTCTTGGTTTAGTCCCTGGTTTTCTCCTGGTTTAGTCTTGGTCTAGTCCTGGTTTAGTCTGGTTTAAACTTGGTTTAATCCTGGTCTAGTCCTTGTCTAGTCCTGGTTTAGCCCTGGTTTCATCTTGGTTTAGTCCTGGTTTAATCTTGGACTATTTATGGTTTAGTCCTGGTTTAGTTCTGGTCTAGTCCTGAATTAGTCCTGGTTTACTCCTGGTTTACTCCTTGTGTAGTCCTAGTCTGGTCTGGCCCTGATCTAGTCCTGGTTTAGACCTGGTTTAGACCTGGTTTAGTCCTGGTTTAGACCTGGTCTGGTCCTAGTCTAGTCCTGGTTTAGTCTTGGTCTAGTCTTGGTTTAGTCTCTGGTCTGGTCTAATCCTGGTTTAGTCCTGGTTTAGTCCTGGTCTAGTCCTGGTCTAGTCCTGGTCTAGTCCTGGATCACCACTGATTTAGTTCTTGGTTGGACACAGGCAGCAGATGTGACAGATGTGGTAGTGATATTCAGTATTACTCAGCAACAATCATGTAAACTAGGACCAAAACTTGTCTAAATAACACGATAGTTATGATTAGACAAATCAAAGAAAATGACATCAGCTTTATTTTGTTAAATCAATGTTTAAACTGTTAGAAAAGTAGATAATAAACCAGTAGTTTTCTCAAACAGTGCAACAAACTTCAAATGACTAAATGTTTTTCATGAATTGTTGAGATCAACCTTCACTAAAACACTTTAATGTATTTTAGATTTCATTTATGAAGAAAACATGAGTTATATTTTGGAGATTGGTGATATTTTGAGTTTTGGGAGCATGAAAACAGAGCTCAGCCTAAACCTTTAACCCAGTCAGTGATGTTCATCTTATCTAATGGATAATAAAGAAAACAGGCATGAAAACGTCTCACCTTTCATACCAGCGTGTGTCACAGCACGGCAGGTGAAACTTTTTAAAACATCCTACCTGCCCGTCCGCCTCACATCAGCCTTCTCACACTCTCTCCTCCCGGTGTACAGCACACATCGGCTCGGTTCTTAGTTCGCGCTGATTAGAAGAGCAAAAAACTAATCTACAGTGTCGCCCCAGCAGACCTACTCCGACATGTGGGCTGAAGTTTGCCTAATAAAATGCCAAATAAATCTGTGTTTGTCACGTGTGTGTTTGGCTCGGTAAATGTGCAGAGGTTAAATCCCACTGTAAAACCATTAAGAGAATGTAACTCCAGATCCTAACCACTTTCTTCACTTTCTTTACTGTTTTCTGTAAAATTTCAGTAGAAGTTCTCTTAAAGAAGGGGTTCTCAAACTGTGGGTGAGGGTCCAAAAAGAGCCACAGAGTGTGTCAGTGTGGAACAGTTTGCTTGGTTTATTTTAAGCTTAAATGAATGCGAATCAGATCAAATGGAGATAGATTTATAAAAAAAAAAAAAAAAATGAAAAAAATGTGCCAAAATAACTGTAAAATACAAATAAATGTTGAAAATGACAAAGATGGTCTTGATTTGGACTTGATAGGCCATTGTCTCGTTCTTGTCTTGGTCTTGACATTTAAAAGTCTTGGTCTCGTCCTGGTCTCGGGATCCTGTGGTCTCAGACAGGTCTTGGTCTCGGTCCGTGTGCTCTTGCCTACCACACTGGTGCAGATACTGGTGAATTGCAGTTCATTTAGAGAGGACCTGGTCTTATTAACTGAAAGAGACGCCCCAGTGCTCCCAGTCTGCAAAAAAACAAACCAAAGCAAACAAAAAAACATGCCTGAAAAAAGGAAAAGACAGACTGGGATAGTGGCTGCTTCCACATGACTCTCCTCCAAAAACATACCAAAATGACCTGATTTAATCCTGTTCTAGTCCTGGTTTAGTCTCTGGTTTAGTCCTGGTTCAGTCCTGGTTTTAGTCCTGGTTCAGTCCTGGTTCAGTCCTGGTTCAGTCCTGGTTCAGTCCTGGTTTTAGTCCTGGTTCAGTCCTGGTTCAGTCCTGGTTCAGTCCTGGTTCAGACCTGGTCTAGACCTGGTCTAGTCCTGGTTCAGTCCTGGTTTTCAGTCCTGGTTTTAGTCCTGGTTCAGTCCTGGTTCAGTCCTGGTTCAGACCTGGTCTAGTCCTGGTCTAGTCCTGGTTTAGTCCTGGTTTAGTCCTGGTTTAGTCCTGCACTGTGAAGTGTACAGTAGGTCAAATGTAAACGAAACATTTTTCTATAAAGTTTAAAGATTTAAAGCCTCTAACAGTGTCTGTTCCTCTTTGTTTTGTGCAGATATCAAACCTGCCAACGTTTTCATCACGGCGACTGGAGTGGTGAAGCTCGGAGACTTGGGCCTGGGTCGGTTCTTCAGCTCCAAAACCACAGCGGCTCACTCACTCGGTAAGTACTAGTACACACTTTTACACACACACAAGTACTTTCACTTCTATATCTCCTGGAGCCTGAGTCTAACCTTACTTGGCCAAGATTAAAAGTGCACTATGTAACTTTTTGGTTGTGGGTGACAGCACTTGCTTGGAAATGTCATTGCTCTGTTTAGAATGTTCCACAGTGTGACATTAACAGCTCTATTTTACACTTATTCAATTACAGGTGGTTTTATAGCTCAAAAATACTTTGAAAAACAGACATTGTGACTGTGAGTGGGGTCGCCTCTCCACAGATCTGACCTGGAACTTGGTCTGGTTTGGTCTCCATGAAGATAGAAAGGTTAAATGCCATACTGTGAAACATTCCAGACAAGGCCTTTGACAGATCTTCCTCTGGAAAAGTTACACAATGCACCTTTAATCTCAATGAGCCTATATCTTAAAGTTGTTGTATCCGATTTTTACAAAACAAACCAGTTTATTTACTTTTTTTTATAGTGGTCCAAACTCAAATGAGTCTATAAGCACTAGGGGTGTGCAGAAGCATTGAAATATTGATATATTGTATCGCTTAATGTGATGATACGGTATTGGTATCATGGGCTGCTGTATCGATATATCGCCAAGTGTAAATTTTGGTTTATTACAGTTTACAGTTTACAATTTACAATTATTTTGTTACAGCTACAGTTTTGTTGTTTGTTTAGTGAAAGGAAACTCATTTATGCAACACATTTGACATTTTAACTGTTCTGAGGATTAAAATGTTTGTGTTTCATATGAACTTTGCACAAGAATTGGTTTAACAAAGACTTTTAGTGTCACAGCCATGATGTTTTCGATGTTTTGTTGAACTTGTTGGAGTCCACGGTTTGTTAGGATCTTCTGCGTTTGCTCTGCGGATGTTTGAAAGTCGTTTAATTCACCGTTAGTGGTTCTTTTCACTCAAAATACGAAAAAGACATTTTCCTTCTTCCGTGTTTCTATTTGTGCATCCGATAATGCAGCAGGAATTTACCATTATCGGGGAGAAATACGTGAGGTTACACACTGTGTTTGACCACTACCATGTTTCTTGCCTCTGACCAAAATATTTCCCAGCATGCAACGCGGGCTTTTAATAACAATGACGTCAGCTGAAACTCGCCTATACCAGCTACAGTATCCTGGTTTGTAATAACTGGGATACTGAAACCGGTATACTGCGTTTACATGCACCGTGAAGAACCGGGGATACTGATGTGCATGTATACTCACTCACTGACATATCCATAAAAACGAGCAGATGACAGATCCCCAACCAAAAAGTTACACAGTGCACCTTTAAGTACACTTATAGTCAGTGTTGGGGAGTAACAGATTACATGTACCAGAGTTACGTAATCAAAGTACAAATTATGAGTAACTGTATTCAGTGAGTGGTAATTGGATTACAGTTACTTTGTTGAAATAAATGGATTACACTGAGGTATTTTCCTGTTTTCACATTTGGGGCTATTCCCTTTTTTTTTTTTTTTTTTTCTTGGTAATTCCACTCATTGCTGGATACTAAACCAGGTCTAAACCCAGGTCTAAAACCAAGTCTAAACCAGGTCTAAAGCAGGACTAAAACCAGGTCTAAACCAGGTCTAAAGCAGGAATAAAACCAGGACTAAACCAGGACTAAACCAAGCTGTGTGGACTGTGTCTCCTCTTCTTCTATCAATAATATTTTTAATTTGGTTCAGTAAAGTCTGGACTTTTTATTTTCTTTTATCAGACAAAACATCTTATGATATGATTTCCTCATCTTTGCTTCTCTACAACAAATCAAGTAATCCAAACTATTCAGATTACTCACTTTAAGTAATTTAATGGATTACATTACAAACTACATTTTGGGATATGTAATCTGTAATCTGTAGGGGATTACATTTTAAAAGTCACCTTCCCAACACTGGATATAGTTCACATACTCAGGTCCCCGCAGTGTGACTTAAACGCTCCTACACACAGACCGCAGTAATCACTCAGAGTTTGTGTTTCATTAGCGAACCTCCAGACCAGGACCTGCCCCCCCCCCGCCGCCCGTTTGAGCCACTTCCTATTGGCGCGACCCTCGACCCCGGGTGCATTAATGGCAGCGAGGGGCGGCCGGGCACACAGGCGTATTGTGGCGCGCCAATAAAACTGTCTGATGTTATAAATGGGCTTGTTATGGGCACTGATGATGGCATGTTTGTCACGAGGAGGAAGTGGAGTGGAGTTTTTTCTCGTTTTAAAGGTGAGAAGTGCCCGTCTAGCCACGATAATGAAGACAGATCCTAAAAGGGCTAATTGAACACTTAACTAGGTGATAAAAGTGTTACGTTTGTTTTATTATGAAGTTGCGAGGGGGGTTTTTAGCGCCCGCTGTACAATCTGCCAATTTTCATAAAACATTTAATACAGAGAAATGTGTAAAGCTGATTTGAAGTGTCATAAAACAATGATTTGATAGTTTTAGTTCTTCCAGAAAATACAAGGGCCAACCTGCTAATAAAAACCCAAATGTGTTTTAATTTAATTACTGGAAGCTGCTGTTGTCACAATATTAGAATCTCAGACTTGATTTGGATAATCAGGAAAAGACTTGATACTCAATACTGATTCTGATACCACGATAATAATAATAATAATAATAATAATAATAATAATAATAATAATAATAATAATAAAAAAGCTCTTTCTTTAGACAATAGAATGTGATTTTCAACATTAAATGGTAGAACTTTCTTTTCTTTTTCCACGTGGTCTTATATGTGTGTAATCCTCAGTAGTCCATGGGCGTATACTAGTCTATGGGCTCTGATTTGGATCATTTCAAGCCTGGAATTCCTAAATTTTTACAGATAAAAGAGCTGTGAACCTGAAAATTACCACTTCATGACATCACAGGGTGGAACAGAGCATTTTGAGCTTTGGAGGTGTAGACAGACTCAAACAAAACACAACTCCAGGTCTGTTTTTGAGGACAGAACAACATTCTAACACGACTTAAAGCTCACAAATTCCATTTCGGTGGCGACAGTAGATCAGTCGGTGGAGCGTTTGTCCACTGATCCGAAGGTCGGCGGTTGGAATCCTGCTCTCGACTTAAACCTCATTGGTAGAGCGGTCAGATCCCATGACGACGGCGCGATTTCATCTCCCACAGATCGATGTTGACTGTTGTTGCGTCCTTGGGCAAGACACTTAACCCATCTCGGCTCCAGTGTCTGTGTGCGCTGGTGTATGAATGTGGGAGTGAATGGGTGAGTGGTTTCTTCAGGTAAAGAGCTTTGAAGGCCTCGAAGGTGGAAAAGCGCTGTATAAAAATGTGACCATTTACAAGGGTCCATTTTGTGTAACATAGGAGCTTCAAAAAGAAAGTTCTTCCTTCACTCAGAATGTCTTTGTCCTTACAGAATATTTAAGTTACGTTCAGACTGCAGCCTGAAGTGACCCAAATCAGATTTTTTCGCCCCTATGTTCTTGTATCTGATCTTTTAATGACAGTCTGATCAACACAGATCCAATTTTTTTCAAATGTGACCCAGACCACTTGGATATGTGCTCCAAAAACTGATACATATCTGATCTTTTGACATGCAACTTTCATTTTGCACTAACATTTGTGACAGTGACGCATTTTTGTCAACAATTAAACTTCATCTTCTTAAACGTTGATTGGAAGTTTTAAATTGAACGTGACTAAAAAATACTTTGTAAGATTTACTGGGAAAAAAATACTTGTTACAATTTGCACTAGCACTTTTTAAGTCCAGGTCACATTCTCCGACCTACATGTCACAAATGTACACAAATGTTCTTCTCGTCATGTGAAAACTGTGTCTGAACTCCATGTCAGTGAAGCACATCGCAATCCCACCGCTCCTGGCTGTAACTCTGCACCCACACGTTCCTTTCTACGGATGTTGCCGCCACTGCCCCACTAACAGTGTTGGGGAGTAACAGATTACATGTACCAGAGTTACATAATCAGAGTACAAATTATGAGTAACTGTATTCAGTTACAGTTACTGTTTCAGTGAGTGGTAATTGGATTACAGTTACTTTGTTGAAATAAATTGATTATATGGTGGTTTTCACATTTTGGGCTAAACTAGGACTAAAACCAAGACTAAAACCAGGACTAAAACCAGGACTAAAACCAGGACTAATACCAGGACTAAAACCAGGACTAAAACCAGGACTAAAACCAGGTCTAAACAATATGACACTTAACAATAGGGTGGACATAACGGCAAACAAAAGTCTGTTCATGGAGATTTGGGCTCAACAGACAATTTGAACTGAACAAACAAGAATTTTCAGGATGTGGTTGTTACATTCATGTCGTTTAAAAAAAAAAACATGACAATATCAAGTAATCCAAAGTATTCAGATTACATTACTCACTTTAAGTAACTTAATGGATTCTGTTACAAACTACATTTTGGGGTATGTAATCTGTAATCTGTAGGGGAATACATTTTAAAAGTCACCTTCCCAACACTGACCACGAAACACCGGGACCAAAAACCTCGTCATTCTCCTTCAATCTCCTCTTTAAAATCATCTGTTCATGTTCTGACTCCGGTACGACAGCAACTTTAAAATCTCCAGGTGCTCAATGCTGCGTCCATGTTTAGGCGACTTCCGTAAACTCTGAGCACGCTCGCTCGTCGTCGTGTTCTCCATTGCACATGCAGTTCACGTTGGACATCACATTGCATTTAATCACAGTTGCATTTAATTGGAAATGTGAACAAGTTTGCAAGAAAAAATCTGAATTGAGCATGAACCCTGCAGTCTGAACGGAGCTTTATTTTCCTTATGAATTCAATGCAATAATTCAAGTTCTATTTAAAGACGGTGATCAGACCTCAATGCAAACTCCTCTCCTAAAACTTCGAATCACATTTCTTTCTTCTGATCTTTCTAATCTCGTTTGTTTATAGCAGCTCCCTTTTGTGCCCTTGGCCCTCTCCTCACACCCTCCTCACCAGT